GTAACAACACACACGCGGATATCACCAGGTGTACCAACCCACACACGCGTGGATGTCACCATGTAACAAGACACACGCGTGGATGTCACCAGGTGTAACAACACACACTGGATGTCACCAGGTGTACCAACACACACGAGTGGATATCATCAGGTACCAACCCACACGTGGATGTCACCAGGTGTAACAAGACACACGCGTGGATGTCACCAGGTGTAACAACACACACGCGTGGATGTCACCAGGTAACAACACACGCGTGGATGTCACCAGGTGTAACAACACACACGCGTGATGTCACCAGGTGTAACAACACACACGCGTGGATGTCACCAGGTGTAACAAGACACACGCGTGATGCTCAAGACACACGAGGATGTCACCAGGTGTAACAACACACACGCGTGGATGTCACCAGGTGTACAACACACACGCGTGATGTCACCAGGTGTACCAACACACACGCGTGGATGTCACCAGGTAACAACACACACGAGTGATGTCACCAGGTGTAACAACACACGATGGATGTCACCAGGTGTAACAACACACACGCGTGGATGTCACCAGGTGTAACAAGACACACGAGGGATGTCACCAGGTGGTAAACACACGCGTGGATGTCACCAGGTGTACCAACACACGCGTGGATGTCACCAGGTGTACCAACCCACACACGCGTGGATGTCACCAGGTGTAACACACACGCGTGGATGTCACCAGGTGTAACAAGACACACGAGTGGATGTCACCAGGTGTAACAACACACACGCGTGGATGTCACCAGGTGTAACAACACACACGCGTGGATGTCACCAGGTGTACCAACACACACGCGTGATGTCACCAGGTAACAACACACACACGCGTGGATGTCACCAGGTGTAACAACACACACGAGTGGATGTCACCAGGTGTACAACACACACGCTTGATGTCACCAGGTGTAACAACACACACGTGGATGTCACCAGGTGTACCCCACACACGCGTGGATGTCACCAGGTGTACCAACCCACACGCGTGGATGTCACCACGTACCAACCCACACACGCGTGGATGTCACCAGGTGTAACGATACAACGCGTGATGTCACCAGGTGTAACACACACGCTTGATGTCACCAGGTGTAACAAACACACGCGTGGATGTCACCAGGTGTAACAACACACACGCGTGGATGTCACCAGGTGTAACAACACACACGCGTGGATGTCACCAGGTGTAACAAAACACACGCGTGGATGTCACCAGGTGTAACAACACATACGCGTGGATGTCACCAGGTGTAATCAGACTCTGAGGTGGTGAAGCCGAGAGTTCCATAAATACCCTGGGGCAGACACAGTCAACCAACACTTCTAAGGAAACAACTTTTGTTTTTTTGTGAGATAGAAAAGTGTTGGATGGTTGCCTCCCTTCCTGCCTGCCCAAGGAGAAGTTGTAAGTCCCATATTATTTACTGATGAATCGGTGAATAGGCCAGCTAGTGGAAGGCTGAACAATGTAGTGAAAGGCTGAACAATGTAGTGAATGACTGAAAAATCTAGTGAGAGGCTGAACAATGTAGTGAAAGGCTGAACAATGTATTGAATGGCTGAACAATGTAGTGAAAGGCTGAACAATGTAGTGAAAGGTTGAACAACTTAGTGAAAGGTTGAACAATGTAGTGAAAGGCTGAACAATGTAGTGAAAGGCTGAACAATGTAGTGAAAGGCGAACAATGTAGTGAATGACTGAAAAATCTAGTGAGAGGCTGAACAATGTAGTGAAAGGCTGAACAATAATGGCTGAACAATGTAGTGAAAGGCTAACAATGGAGAATGACTGAAAATCTAGTGAGCTGAACAATGTAGAAAGGCTGAACAATGTATTGAATGGCTGAACAATGTAGTGAAAGGCTGAACAATGTAGTGAATGACTGAAAAATCTAGTGAGAGGCTGAACAATGTAGTGAAAGGCTGAACAATGTATTGAATGGCTGAACAATGTAGTGAAAGGCTGAACAATGTAGTGAAAGGTTGAACAACTTAGTGAAAGGTTGAACAATGTAGTGAAAGGCTGAACAATGTAGTGAAAGGCTGAACAATGTAGTGAAAGGCTGAACAATGTAGTGAATGACTGAAAAATCTAGTGAGAGGCTGAACAATGTAGTGAAAGGCTGAACAATGTATTGAATGGCTGAACAATGTAGTGAAAGGCTGAACAATGTAGTGAATGACTGAAAAATCTAGTGAGAGGCTGAACAATGTAGTGAAAGGCTGAACAATGTATTGAATGGCTGAACAATGTAGTGAAAGGCTGAACAATGTAGTGAAAGGCTGAACAATGTAGTGAAAGGCTGAACAATGTAGTGAATGGCTGAACAATGTAGGAAAGGCTGAACAACGTAGTGAAAGGCTGAACAATGGTGAAAGGCTGATAATGTAGAAAGGCTGAACAATGTAGTGAAAGGTTGAACAATGTAGTGAAAGGCTGAACAATGCAGTGAAAGGTTGAACAATGTAGTGAAAGGCTGAACAATGTAGTGAAAGGCTGAACAATGTAGTGATGGCTGAATAAGGTAGTGAAAGGCTGAACAATGTACTGATGGCTGAACAATGTAGTGAAAGGCTGTACAATGTAGTGAAAGACTGAACAACGTAGTGAAAGGCTGAACAATGCAGTGAAAGGCTGAACAATGTAGTGAAAGGCTGAACAATGTAGTGAAAGGTTGAACAATGTAGTGAAAGGCTGAACAATGCAGTGAAAGGTTGAACAATGTAGTGAAAGGCTGAACAATGCAGTGAAAGGTTGAACAATGTAGTGAAAGGCTGAACAATGTAGTGAAAGGCTGAACAATGTAGTGATGGCTGAACAAGGTAGTGAAAGGCTGAACAATGTAGTGATGAAGGAACAATGTAGTGAAAGGCTGTACAATGTAGTGAAAGGCTGAACAATGCAGTGATGGCTGAACAAGGTAGTGAAAGGCTGAACAATGTAGTGATGGCTGAACAATGTAGTGAAAGGCTGTACAATGTAGTGAAAGGCTGAACAATGTAGTGATGGCTGACAAAAGTGAAAGGCTGAACAATATAGTGATAACGGAACAAGGTAGTGAAAGGCTGAACAATGTAGTGAAAGGCTGAACAATGCAGTGAAAGGTTGAAGAATATAGTGAAAGGCTGAACAGTCTAGTGAAAGGCTGAACAATGTAGTGAAAGGCTGAACAATGTATTGATGGCTGAACAAGGTAGTGAAAGGCTGAACAACGTAGTGATAGGTTGAACAATGTAGTGAAAGGCTGAACATCGTAGTGAAAGGCTGAACAACGTAGTGAAAGGTTGAACAATGTAGTGAGAGGCTGAACATTGAACAATGTAGTGAAAGGCTGAACATCGTAGTGAAAGGCTGAACAACGTAGTGAAAGGCTGAACAACGTAGTGAAAGGCTGAACAACGTAGTGAAAACAATAAGATATACTTTGATGAATCCGAGACCAGAGAAGATTCTGTTATAACGGAGAGTCATCAAGGTTAGGTGGAGTCTGTGGCGGAGATGAACGAGTCCTCACTTGGCACTGTAACAAGCTGGGTCTAGGAGGTGAAGTGTGAGGATAACTCCCACCAGGTCCTCCTTCAGATATCATGGAGAAGGTGGTCGTTTCCTGGGTCGAAAGCATGCTTACAGCGACCCGGTGTATTAATGTCAGTGAAATGAACAGTGAAGTTGGGCAGTTCTCATGGAAGAGCTGTGACAACATCCATGAACATCTGGAAATGTCTACGGTTTCTGGATGATGCGTTCTTCGAAACCTCATCGCTCAGGATCGGCATCAGGGGATGACCTCAATTCGTGAGCTCCTTGAACTGCACAAAGCCGATTCAGCCAACTCTCTTTGCCGTCTGGTGACAGATGAGACCTAGATTCATTATTGGGACCCCGAGCTGAAGATGGAATCCGTGCAATGGAAGCAGCGGAATTCGGCGACCTCCAAGAAGTTGAGAAGTCAACCATCCGCCCGCAAGATCATGGCCTCTATTATCTGATATGCCAAGCGAATTCAGCATATTAACTACCTAACATGATCAGACAAGGATTTTCAGGGTAAATACAACAGCTTATAATAACGTGAGCTCCAACACTGCATATATGGAAGCTGAGCCCTAAGACGAACTAAGACAACTTTCTCGATAATGTTTACTGAATCCCTCTCACCACCCAGCCCTTGTCACCCCTCCCCAGCACACTCACCCCTTCCACCACTTTCCTCCCTCCTCTCACCCTTCCATCTTTCCCATTACCCCATCCCATCTCAACATCCCTCTTACTCCACAAACCCCCATCCTTCCCATCCCACCAACCCCCATCCTTCCCATCATTCTCTCCCTTTCGTTTGTCACTCACTCCCCAGCACCTCGCCTCCCTCCCTCTCCACAGTGCTCCCCGACTCCTTCTCTCCCTCAGGTGTCGTTTCTGCTCTCTACTTCCTAAATCCTCCATTTCCTCTCAGAATATTACTCCCCGCTTTACCCTTTATCCTAACAAATATTCCTCCCCAGTCCTCTTCCCTCTAGCTCCCCCCAGTTTCCCCTCAGCCTTCCTCCTCCCCACCTCCACCCTTTTCCCCACCTCCACCTTCTGCCTACCTCCCACCCCCCCACACAGACACACAAGGAAGGGACGGGGAACTAAATGAGAGGAAGATCTGTTATCGAATGTAATGGAGTTTAGTTCAATTTATTTGTGTTAGTTCTCGTGTGGGTCTGGAGTAATTTTTCTATACGATTTCTTGCGTTAATTCTTATTTTACCTTCTTTGTCTTACAACTAATTATCTCACAGGTGTATTTTATAATCAGTTTCACTCATTAAAAGATCTGAACCTAACCAAATCTAGCCAAAGCTAACCAAATCATCCTCTCTCTCTCTCTCTCCACTAGTCTATCTGTCCATCTATCTACCTTTCTCTCAATACAACTATGGACAATATTTCCCCATCTGATCACATCAACAAAACACACTATACATCATACCTCTGCAGAGCGCAGATGGTAGCACCCGGCATAGCGAGGAGAAGAAAGGTATTGAGATAACAGATGAGGATACCACAGAGCAACATGTAGGAGAGCTCCCTGCCGGATGCCTTAACGATGGGGGTGTCGTCATGTTTGGTGAAGATAATGATGACGGTGAGGGTGAGAACGATACCAGGCAGGAGATGGCGACTGGTACCAGGGCGAAGATAGACGTCCACTGCATGTATTTGTGGGGCAGGTCGAAGCATCCCATCTTATCGTCGTAAGGCCAGCGTCCAGGACCACAATCTTGGCAGGTGAATTCCCCAACCATCATCTCCCAGTCCTGTAAGGTGTACAGATCCAGCAGCACGTGTCGCCCTGCCAGGATGAGTGATGGAAAAAGGAATGTGAAATCTGACGTTGGTAAATGGTTCTTATAGTCCCCCATCCCCCCCAAAAAAAAATGATGGGAAATTCTCACCTTCATAGCGGATATAACCAGTACAAAACCAGTATAGAACCAGTTATTGTTTATGGGAAGGTGAGAGTAAACAGAGATCTTTCAGGGTAACAAAGAATAGTTATCAAGCAGCTGATGATTCGCTGGAAGGGTAATTGGGAAAGAGGGAAGAGAGTTACTGCCCTCGGCTGTCTGAGAGTACACACACACACACACACACACACACACACACACACACACACACACACACACACACACACACACACACACACAAAACACACTAGTAATTCTCTCGGGATAAAGGACACTGAGAGAGAGAGAGAGAGAGAGAGAGAGAGAGAGAGAGAGAGAGAGAGAGAGAGAGAGAGAGAGAGAGAAACCATGAACCCAGAGTTCTGCTTCAAGGTCTAGTCTAGTGTTAATGAGTGTTGAACCGGCAGATCAACTCTCTGGACGGAAAGGCAACTGGGAGAAGCGCGACTCGTCACACTGAAATCTACAACAGGTTATCAAATAGTACAAATATTTCGGTCAATTTATAGTAGAGGATATAATTCGATATTTTATTTTCTTATGATAAATTAAGACAAAAACAAGACGATTTTCATTAATTTCTTGATGTGTTTATAATAGTCTTAGAATTCGCAACACACAATTAATCATAGTACCGTCCTTATATCTGAGGGTTGGCGACCACAGTCCTCCACTCTAAAGGTTCTCGGGCTGTTTTAACCAATCCTCTGAGGCTTTGTATCTCTCTAGGAACCAAGAGCTTAATTTCATCCATCCATCCCAGTCTCTGTCTTCCCCTGGCCTCCTACCTCAACTTTTCCCATTAATATTTCTGTTATTATCCCCCTTATACCCAACTACATGACCACCAAAGTGTCTCATTTTTCTGTTTCAGCGACATACTGCACACCTGTAATTAAATATCAGGTACTATGAGTTGTTTATAGAGACACAGGTAATGGTGGTTCGTTTCTCTTGGACTGTTATAAGATGCAATGAAGTAGTTAAGTAGTAAAAGTTCTTAATTACTGTGAAATTGTGAAAAATTCTCAGAGGCAACAAGTTTTCGGAGACAATTACAAGCTCCAGCGAGAAGTTTTGGGTTAGTTGTAAGTTTTGTGAGTCAGTCGTAAGTCTTGTGAGTTAGTGGTAAGTTTTGTGAGTCAGTCGTAAGTTTTTTGAGTCAGTTGTAAATTTTGCTAGTCACCGTGGGAGAGAGTGTGACAAATAGCTGCCTGGAATAGTTAATGAAATAATATATAACTGTTGTGGAAAATAATGAGAAAAGAAAAAGCTAAACGAGAGAAATTTTCACAGGTTATAAGTGAACTGGAAGGAAACAAACAGTAAAAAACCTCCATTTAACGGATATCTAACGGGTATAGTCCGTTATATGGAGGTTTTATATCTAATAGACCTCGATATAATGAACAGTACTGTAAAAGAGAGAGAGAGAGAGAGAGAGAGAGAGCTCATATTAGGAACGAAGGTGATGAATATTTTTAACCTTTAAGAAAAGTATACCAGAAACTTATAAGATAACAGGAAAAAAATGATAAGAGAGAAAGAAAATAGGAATAAGAGGGGACTGGGGGGGGGGACTCGTAAGATTTTAAAAAATAGGGAGGAAAAATCGTATCTAGTCAAGTGGAAAACGTGTCATTATACTCGTAGACCTAAGGTTATTATTCTCTTCAGTCACAGGCATCAGGTTTGACGACCCGGTAGCCAGCGCTGACTTGGAGGAGAGGAAGGCCTGGGTTACGGCTGCGACCTTGTGAACATTATAGTGACTTAGTTTAGGTCTTCATGTGTTGCCCTACGTTATGGTGATTAAGTTAATGTTGTGACTGATTCCTGTGTGGATTTTTTAATGATGAGATTAGTGTGTAGAATCGTAGCTCAAATGATGTCTTCGTGAAGGTATAAAATAGATGAAACTGACGTCTTGGTAATATAATTTTGTTGGTTGTGAACGTCCATACTGAGGAGACAACAGGAGGTTTGACCCTTGTTTGTTTTGGGTATA